CAGCAGGTCGAGGCTGCGGTGGCCGGGAGCGGCCAATGCACTCCAGTCTGGGTGACAGAGTGAGACTCCGACTCAAAAAAAAAAAAGATAAAGGGATTTATACAGTGGAAAGTTTCCACATTCTACTTAGTGGTAAAATACTGATTCTAAGCAAACTATGAAAGTAGCTTGTATATAGCAATATCTACAGCAACGATTTAAAAGCTATAAAAAGGGATACAGTTAAAAACACAATACATAAATTCAAATGGAATAATACAAAATGCTCAACACAAAAGAGGGCAGGAAAGGGGAAAAAGAGAAACAACAAACAGAGGGAACAAAAAAAAATAATAATACGATAGCCCTAAATCCAAACATATCATTAAAAAAACAGAGGTTGCCAGAATGACTTAAAAAAATTATTCAAAATTTGATGTAAGGAAAAACACTTAAAATGTAACAATATAGGTAAGTTAAAATTTACAGAGATAAAAGCACTTCCAGAATGGCAGAGAAAGGACCTCCAAAAATCTGTTTCTCCAAGAACTCTGGCAAAAATTATAAAAATCCACTTTTTCACAACTCTGGAAATGCTACTTGGATTGTAAAAAAAGCCCGACTCTCAGTAAGAACAGTGAGCTATGTGATACTTTAACTTCCTCTCAACCTCTCCCCACCTCTGAGGTGGCCCTGAGAACGCAGCAGCTCACAGCCACAGCACTGTGAGGCCAGCAGTCAGTGAAGGAGGCACCCGGGATGCGAGCTCCTCCAAGGCTCCAGCCCAGAGCACTGTCCCCGCTTGACCTGTCTGGCTGCTCCCTGGAAACTCCTACCTGCAAGGCTTTATCTTCAGCTGACCTCACTGGAGCTCTCCCGATGTGAACAGCTTTTTTCCCCAGGGTGTTTGTCAGAAACAATCAGTGATGACTGTTTAACATCACAACCACCCCAGGCACAGGCACCATTAACAGCTGAAGCAAACAAGAAACTGACCAAAAAGCTTAAGAGGAAAAGCTGAGACTCTAGAAGGCCATATGCATGGGTGTGCTCAAAGACCTGCAAAGGCCCTGATTTCTCACCTCCGCTGCCCTTTGAGGCTCTGTGCAAGCAGGAAGTGAGGGTTAAGGCAAATTGCACACTGCCTGCCAAAGCATTGAGGGCTTGCTCCAACATATACACTGAGCCCCTTAGGAAAGACTGGGAGACTTAGTTCAAAGCATTTAAGGAAATCTCTCATCTTCAACGGACCACCAACTAAGCTAAGTGAGCAGAGCCTTCAGTGCCCAAACACAACAAAGAATACAGGTTTTACAGAATTCAGTCAGAAAAGTCACTGAACAAATAGCAGCAGTGACAACAATAAGCAGCAAAACAAACAAACTTCAAGAAGGAGGGCCAAATTATCCAAAGCCAAAAAGACGTTTCTAGTTCCTAATATAATGGGCCCAAGCGACAACATCTCCCTAACAGAATGTGAGGCTAATATTTATGCCCAACCCTCCTACTTGGGCCCAGTACAGTCAGCAATTCCTATGGGTGGGAGGACAGAAAGGGATGAGGTAGTTTATTCGAGGGATGAGATTCTAGCAGGCACATTTTAGCAGTTTTAAAATAATTTATTCTAGGAAAGGGTGAGGAACAGCCTAACACCACATACAATGTGTCATGTGGTACATTTACAACTCACAAGGAAACTGGTCCTAGAAAAGGCCACTCATATTTCAATTTGCCAGTGAAAGTCCGATTTTACCCTAAGACTCAAAACCACAACTGTCTACTCAGGAACCAAGCCCAGTCAAGTAGGGAATAGCCACTGATTCAGAGATATGGTGGACAGCTGCCATTTTTTTGTTTTGGGCATCCCTACCCCTTTCCAGCTGGGGTCCCCCTCTCCCGTATTCTCAGTCTGTGGGCTCCCAGAGGCATCGCCTCACAATGCTGACCCAATATCCACCCTCAGTCCTCCTTACTAACAGAACTTCAAATCTAGCTAGGGCAGCAATACACCCAGCTCCCAGTGACAGATCATGATGGGTGTGAGTCAGTTATGACAATTCTGTTTTCTGTTCATCTAGCCTAATGGCAGCTAGGGATGGCAAAGTGATCTAGCATATAAGGGGACACCTTTGGGGCACTTTTGGGGGACCTTTTGCTCTCCAGTTTTAAAAGGACAGACAACTACCAGTTTGCTCCCCATCTTTCTGCTTTGAACACAGGGGTGGTACCAGGAGCCAAGGCAGCCATCTCACACCCTCAAGGTAAAGGCCAAGAGAAGTGCAGGGGTGCTGGCCCACACTGCTGAGCCACGCCCGACAGCCACACACCAGATTTCTCATCATGTAAAGAAATGAACTCCTTCTTGTTTAAGCACTTTTGGTGGAATTTTCTGTTTCTTGTAGCCAAAGCATCTTTTTTTTTTTGAGTCGCTGTGTCGCCCAGGCTGGAGTGCAGTCGCACACTCATAGCTCACTGGAGCCTCAACCTCCTGGGCTCAGGTGATCCTCCCACCTCAGCCTCCTGAGTAGCTGGGACTGCAGGCACGACCGCCATGTCTGGCAAATTTTTTTTTTTTATTTTTGCAAAGATGAGGTCTTACTATGCTGCCTAGGCTGATCTCGAACTCCTGGCCTCAAGCAACCCTCCTGATTTGGCCTCCTAGAGTACTGGGATTCCAGGCGTGAGTCACTACACCTGGCTTGCTCTACGAACTTTTTCTCTGTTTTGAGTTGGAGTCTCACTCTGTTGCACAGGCTGGAGTGCAGTGGCATGCCTCACAGCCACCGCAGCCTCAACCTGCTGGGGTCAGGTGACCCTTCTGCCTCAGCCTTCCAAGTAGCTGGAACCTTACAGGTACATGCCACCATGCCTGGCTAATTTTTGGATTTACTGTAGAGATGAGGTCTCACCAAGTTGCCTAGGCTGGTCTCAAACCCATGGGCTCAGGCAATCCTCTTACCTCAGCTTCCCAAAGTACTGGGTTTATAGGCATGAGCCACCATGCCCAGCTAGCCAAAGCATCTTAACTGACTTGGTTAGTGACTTAATCAGAGCCAAAGAGACACAAAAAGACTTTTGCTTGGAAAGTTGGAATATCCTATCAATCTTTCCTCCTGGACAAGAATGAAGCTAGATACAGCCCTAAGAGCTGCTATAGAGCACCTCAAAATAACAAGAGGGCATGAGCCTGCCTGAGGACAGAAGGCCAGGGGACAGATGGGAAGACATCAATAATCAATAAGGACATTGAGCTCCCTTATCATCCCTGCCTGAAAAGCAGTCTGTCCTGAGCTAATATCTTTCTTTCCTGCTTAATAACGTGAGCTAGGCCGGGCTTGGTGGCTTAGTCTATAATCCCAGCACTTTGAGAGGCCGAGGCGAGTGGATTGCCAGAGCCCACGGGTTCGAGACTAGCCTGGGCAACTTGGTGAGACCTTATCTCTACAATAAACAAAAAATTAGCTAGGCATGGTAGCGCGCGCCTGTAGTTCTGGCTATTTGAAAGGCTGAGGTGGAAGGATCGCTGGAGCCCAGCAGGTCAAGGCTGCGGTGGCTGGGAGTGGCCACTGCACTCCAGTCTGGGCGACAGAGTGAGACTCCAACTCTAATAATAATAAAAATAATAATGTGAGTTAATATCTTTCTTTGTTTCCTGCTTAAGTCAGTTTGGCTTTCTGACACTTGCAATTAAATGATTCCTAACTAATACAAATATGCTATCATTCGTTCAGTGGCCAGCCAACCAGCCAAACTCTATATTTCATTATTTCTTGACAGTTCAGTCACTGATCAAGACTGAACGACTACAGTGAAGAAAAGTGGGCCCCACTCACCTTCTATTTGTTTCTTCTGCTCAAGTTTCATTTTCTTTGCCAGTAATTTCTTCTCTTTTAACTTCTGGCTACAAATGTAAAACACATACATGATTCCTTAACTACCTATTATATATTAAAAAAAATAAGCATCTACTTGTGGTATTTGAAAAACTTAACAATAACACAAACATTACAACAACAAAATAAACACTTTCTCATGACTCTGCCACTCCGACATGATCACGCTGCTTTCATTATGAGTCAAGATCAAATCCTGGAGAGACCTGAGGCGATGAAAGCAATCTCAGAAATACTGGAGACACTTTCTCATTCTAAGACTTTTAGGGAATGTTTTTACAGTCCTGCTCAGCTCTCTCAAAACTTAGGGACCGTAAAGCTTGTGTAACCACACAGTCACTTGAGGAGGTCCTGTACCCTAGTTTAAGGAACAAGCTAAATGGGAATCTGGTTACAGTACTTTGTTAACCTGACATTAAAATACAGAAGGGGAAGAGACACAGAAATCAATGTGATCACCACAGTCTTGACTTACCAGCTCTGGAGAACCAGTAACAAGCTGGGGGCAATGAGGGACTGGCTCTCTCCCAAGTCATTCCTCTCCCAGGCTGCTCCACCTTAGGTCGTTAGCACCCATGACGACTGGCCATGCAGGTGAACTTTGGGCTGCAAGGACTCGGTTCATCCACCATTCATCCACTTTCTATCCCCTACCCTTAAGTCTCATTACAGTCATGGGAAGCTATGACTTCTTACCGTTTTTTCCGCCGCTTTGCAGTCTGCTCCTCCGCGGCAATTTTATTCTTTTCCAGTCTCTTCTGAAACTCTGCATCCAATTTTTGCTGTAATAAACCCACATCATTTACTTATTTATTTATTTATTTATTTTTTTTGAGTTGGAGTTTCACTCAGTCGCCCAGACGAGTGCAGTGACACGCTCCCGGCCACCGCAGCCTCGACCTGCTGGACTCCAGCGATCCTTCCGCCTCAGCCTTCCAGGTAGCTGGAACTACAGGTGTGTGCTACCACATCCGGTTAGTTTTTTATTTATTGTAGAGACAAGGTCTCGCCAAGTTGCCCAGGTGGGTCTCGAACTCATGGGCTCAGGCAATCCACTTGCCTCGGCCTCCCAAAGTGTTGGGATTACAGGCTGAACCACCGAGCTCGGCCTTACTTATTTATTTTTTAAAACAAAGTTTATTAGAGAAAGAAGAGATCAAAGAAAGGGAGACATGCCAGAGCTGGCATGGGAGAAAGAAACTGCCAAACCCACATCATTCAGACACTCTGTGCTCTGGGTAGACTGTAGGAGGTTTCACTCAGGCTGAGTATGAGTTCTAGAAGACACACCGCAGGGAACGCTATAGGCACCATCCAGGGACTCAAGGCCATTTCAACTTTAAAAGGCCGCCCCACCAGGGCAGATAATCAATATATGGCTCTCTGATGGCAATGTAACTCTTTCAGTTCATTGAGATACCACTCAAGCACAGCAAAAGATAAGGGAGACTACGAGAGGGAGCACACAGGACTCCTGTGGGCAGAGGCAGTTCTCATCATCTGTTCAGCCAGGGTCTAGGATACGACCAGAGCTCTTTAGATGGAATGACCAGACGGCCAGAATCATGGAATTCTCAAGACCTAACCTTAACTACGGTTACTGAATGGCTGCCTCTAAAGCGGCATAACATATACCACATCTGCCATCACCTGCCACTAAATACACACACACAAATGTCTGTATATACTGTATTTCTTCCCAGCAGTACTGTTTCCAAATCTCAGTATTCTCATCTGCAAAATGGGGGAAAATTAAAACTTCTCCTCCCAAAGCTGTTAGGAAGAATAATGAAATGAGATAACCTACAGAAATGCACCTTGCAACTACAGACATCTACTGATACAAGCATCATTTCTCATTTCTTCCAGTCATGGCCAGTGGGGCAAAAAAGAAGGAGCTGACAAAGGAGGAAGAGGTGTCTTCAACTCCTCTGCTGACCTGCACTACCAGGGCTGTGTGAAGTGGTTTAGAGTGGCACAGAAACCAAGTAATAGAAGCCCCCTCTAAGAAGGGAGAAAAGGTCCCTTCAAGAAGGAAATCAGCTTTAATTAAAGGACAACTAGAAAGCAAGTGACTTAAATCTCAAGGCACTTGGTTTGCTCAGAAGTTGAGCTGTAAATGTCTTACTCCGTGATTCTCAAGAAGCTATATTTACCAGCAAGTAAAATAAACAAAGCCAGGTCTCAAGCAGAAGTCGGACTATGTTCCATTAGCAGTGATCTCCTACCAGTCACTGGAGAAGGGAGGGTTCTCTTGCCTCTTTTCTTTTGTTTATTTCAGCCTGTCTTTTGCCATCTGAAATAAAAATCTTTGCATTTCTATGGATATCAAGGACGGTGAGACATTTTTCTGTGTTTTCCCCAGATCTTGAATCAATATAAAAATAATATAAAAACTTCAGACTAACTTATGGTACTTGAGACAACAACCTGACTTATTTCCTCCCCTCTAAAGCAGCTTCCACCACATGATAGGAGCTGAAGAACAACCAACATCTGGGGCCAAAAAAGGCTGCAGGACAAGTAAATCTTAGGTGAAAAGCAGCACAGCAATGATTTCCTTCTGTTCCAAAGTCAGAAGCACTTTTTTCTAACTCAATTTTGGCCTTTCTAATAAGTTCTTACATATTTTTTTGGTTTAGTATTTTCTCTAATATTTTATTTTGGAAATTCCAAATGCAGAAAAGTTAACAGAATTATACAGTACATATGCCCACTACCTTGAATCAACAATTAGCATTCTAAGCCGGACTTGGTGGCTCAGCCTATACTCCCAGCACTTTGGGAGGCCAAGGCAACTGGATTGCCTGAGTCTGCAGGTTCAAGACCCATCTGGGCAACTTGAAGAGACCTTGTCTCTACAATAAATCACAAATTAGCTGGATGTGGTAGCATGCACCTATAGTTCCAGCTACTTGAAAGGCTGAGGTGGAAGGATCGCCGGAGCCCAGCAGGTTGAGGCTGCAGTGGCTGGGAGAGTGCCACTGCACTCCAGTCTGGGCAACAGAGTGAGATTTCAACTCAAAAAAAAAAAAATTAATATTCTGCTGCACTTTCCTTTATCATCTATCTATCTGTCTGTATTTATCTATGTCTCTATTCATCCATCAATCCATCTCACTTTTTTGGTGCATTTCAAAGTAAGTTGCAGACATTGGGACAGTACATTCTTAAACATTTAAGCAAGCACATGATTAAATAGGGTTTAATGTTTGTTTGTGGTTTTTTTCTTTTTCCTTTTATTTAATTATTTATTTATTTTTGAGTTGGAGTCTCACTCTGTCGCCCAGACTGGAGTGCAGTGGCCGCTGCTGGCCACCGCAGCCTCGACCTGCTGGGCTCTGGTGATCCTTCCGCCTCTGCCTTCCAAGTAGCTGGAACTACAGGCCCGCGCTACCACGCCCGGCTAATTTTTTGATTTATTGTAGAGATGAGGTCTCGCCAAGTTGCCCAGGCAGATCTCAAACCTGGTCCAGGGTTCAGGCAATCCACTCACCTCAACCTCCCAAGGTGTGGGATTACAGGTTGAGCCACCAAGCCTGGCTTCTTTTTCTTTTAAAGTAATTCCTACAAAGAACAAAATATCCAGATTCTGAGTGTACAGTTTGATCACCCCAGTCAAGTCCCCTCACACCTCTTCCCATTCAATCCCAATCCTAACCCCCAGAGACAACCACTGTTATGACTTTTTCTCACACAGATTAGTTTCTTTTCTATTTTTTTCAGTTGGAGTCTCACTCTGTCGCCCAGGCTGAAGTGCAGTGGCCGCTCCCGGCCATCGCAGCCTCGACCTGCTGGGCTCCGGCGATCCTTCCGCCTCAGCCTTCCACGTAGCCGGAATTACAGGCATGCGCTACCATGCCCAGCTGATTTTTTGATTTATTGTAGAGATGAGGTTTCGCTGCCCAGGCGGGTCTCAAACCTGCGGGCTCAGGCAATCCACTCACCTCAGCTTCCCAAAGGCGCGGGATGACAGGCTGAGCCACCGAGCCCGGCTACAGATTAGTTTCATCTGTTCTAGAACTTCATATAAATGGAATCACACAACACGGTCTCCTTAGGCAAGGTTTCTTCCACTGAGCATGTTCTAAAGAATCATCAGCCGGGCTCGGAGGCTCAGCCTGTAATTCCAGTGCTTTGGGAAGTCGAAGTGAGTGGACTGCCTGAGCCCACGAGTTCGAGACCCACCTGGGCAACTTGGCGAGACCTCATCTCTACAATAAATCAAAAATTAGCCAGGCATGGTAGCACACGCCTGTAGTTCCAGCTACTTGGAAGGTTGAGGTGGAAGGATCACCAGAGCCCAGGAAGTCGAAGCTGCAATGGTCGGGAGCGGCCACTGCACTCCAGTCTGGGCGACAGAGTGAGACTCCAACTCAAAAAATAAATAAATAAATAAAAATAAAAAATAAAGAATCATCCCAGTTATTGCATATATCAGTAGTTTGTTCCTTTTTGTTACTAAGTAGTATTTTATTTTATGGATGTTTAAACTTTTGTAAACTGATAAACATAAAAGCAGATGTTTTAATTTTTTATTTTTGTTGAGTTGGGGGTCTTACTCTGTCACCCAGGCTGGAGTGCAGTGGCACAATCACCACAGCTTTGACCTCCTGAGCTCAGGTGTTCCTCCCACCTCAGCCTCCTGAGTAGCTAGGACTACAGGCATGCACCACCGTGTCCAGCTAATTTTTTTGATTTTTTTTTTGTAGAGACAATGTCTTGCTGTGTTACCCAGGATGACCTCAAACTCCTGGGCTTAAGTGATTCTCCGCCTCAGTCTCCCAAAGTGCTGGGACTATAGGCGTGAGCCACACCATGCTCAGCCTTGATTTTTTTTTTTGAGTTGGAGTCTCACTCTGGCACCCAGACTGGAGTACAGTGACTACTCCCAACCACCGCAGCCTCGACCTGCTGGGCTCCAGTGATCCTTCCGCCTCAGCCTTCCAAGTGGCAGGAACTACAGGCACGCGCTACCATGCCCAGCTAAATTTTTGATTTATTGTAGAGATGAGGTCTCGCCTGCCCAGGCAGGTCTCGAACCCGTGAGCTCAGGTAGTCCACTCACCTCAGCCTCCCAAAGGCGTGGGATTACAGGCTGAGCCACCAAGCCCGGCTTTGATTTTTTTGTTTTTAATAGACAGGGTCTTGCTATATTGCCCAGGTTAGACTCAAACTTCTGGGCTCAAGCAATCTCCCTGCCTCAAGTCTCCTGAGCAACTGGGATTACAAGCATGAGCCACCATGCCAGACTCTGATGTTTATTAATAGTAAACAGAGACCTGCCTGGGCAACTTGGCAAGACCTCATCTCTACAATAAATCAAAAATTAGCTGGGCGTGGTAGCACACGCCTATAGTTCCAGCTACTTGGAAGGCTGAGGCAGAAGGATCGCTGGAGCCCAGCAGGTCGAGGCTGCGGTGGCCAAGAGCGGCCACTGCACTCCAGTCTGGGCAACAGAGTGAGACTCCAACTCAAAAAAAAAAAAAGTAAGCCGGGATCGGTGACTCAGCCTGTAGTCCCGCGCCTTTGGGAGGCTGAGGTGAGTGGATTGCCTGAGCCCGCGGGTTCGAGACCCACCTGGGCAGCGAGACCTCATCTCAACAATAAATCAAAAAATCAGCCGGGCATGGTAGCGCATGCCTGTAATTCTGGCTACTTGGAAGGCTGAGGCGGAAGGATTGCTGGAGCCCAGCAGCTCGAGGCTGCGGTGGCCGGGAGCGGCCACTGCACTGCAGTCTGGGCGACAGAGTGAGACTCCAACTCCAAAAAAAAAAAAAAAAAAAGTAAATGGACAAATATAGAAGCATATACAAAGGGCAGTATATATTTTCTTGACTCTCATTAATAGCCAGTTAAAAAATATATGGGATGGCTGGACATGGTAGCGCATGCCTGTAGTTCTGGCGTCTTGGAAGCCTGAGGTGGAAGGATAGGCGGAGTCCAGCAGGTCGATGCTGGGGTGGCCGTGAGCATGCTACTGCACTCCAGCCTGGGCAACAGTGAGACTCCAACTCAAAAAAATACACACACACACACACACACACACACACACACACACACACACGTACATATATGAGATTACCCAGCACCACTGCTACCAAAAAACTTTGGTCAAAATCTCTACAGGTCATTATTATTATTTTTTTTAGATGGAGTCTCACTCTGTCGCCCAGACTGCAGTGCAGTGGCTGCCCCCGGCCACCGCAGCCTCGACCTGCTGGGCTCCGGCGATCCTTCCGCCTCAGCCTTCCGAGTAGCCGGGATTATAGGCATGCGCTACCACGCCCGGCTGATTTTTTTGATTTATTGTAGAGATGAGGTCTCACCAAGTTGCCCAGGTGGGTCTCGAACCCACGGGCTCAGGCAATCCACTCATCTCAGCCTCCCAAAGCGCGGGATTACTGGCTGAGTCATCAAGCCCGGCTTCCAAATCATTATTGAGAGATACAATAAAAATTAAACAAATGAAAAAAAAACAGGAGTTTCTAGATGAGATGGCCAAATGTTGTAACATCCATTTTCATTGAAGTTAAGTCACTTCTTGTTTGTTTTATTTGTTTGTGTGTTTTTGAGTCAGAGTCTCACTCTATCACCCAGGCTGGAATGCAGTGGCACATTCACGACCACTACAGCCTCAACTTGCTGGACTCAGGTGATCTTTCCGCCTCAGCCTTCCAAGTAGCTGGAACTACAGGCATGCATCATCAAACCCAGCTAATTTTTCTTGATTTATTGTAGAGACAAGGTCTTGTCAAGTTGTCCAAGCTGGTCTCAAATGCCTGGGCTCAGGCAATTCTCTCACCTCCACCTCCCAAAGTGCTGGGATTACAGGCAAAACCCCCCACTCTTTTTTTTAAACACCTACAGAGCTTCTGGAAAGTTACAGACTGTCTCAATGTTAGCTACTCCCACCCCCCCCAAAAAAATCAAAGATTTCTGGTGGGGATTAAGTACTCCCAAAACTAAATCAGAGAAATAAAACAATGCCCCAAAGGATTTTTTTTTTTTTTGAGTTGGAGTCTCACTCTGTCGCCCAGACCGGAGTGCAATGGCCACTATCGGCCACCGCAGCCTCGACCTGCTGAGCTCTGGTGATCCTTCTGCCTCGGCCTTCCAAGTAGCTGGAACTACAGGCGTGCACTACTATGTCTGGCTAGTTTTTGATTTACTGTAGATATGAGGTCTCGCCAAGTTGCCCAGGCAGGTCACGAAAGGACTTTTTTTTTTTTAAGAGCACCAGGAGAGATGTTTCTAGCCCTTCAGCCAAATAATAGAAAGTTTAACAGTTCTTAATAGCCTGGCGTGGTAGAGTACACCAGCTACTTGGAAGGCTGAGGTGGAAGGATCGCTAGAGCCCAGCAGGTCGACGCTGGGGTGGCTGTGCGTATGCCACGGAACACCAGCCTGGGCCATGGAGTGAGACTCCAACTCACAAAATAAATTTTAAAAAAGATACAATTTCTTAAGCAATTCTCCAACTGTTATAATAATCTACTCTGTCATGAAGAAATGCCAGCCCCAAAGCTAGGAAACCTAAATCCTCAAAGAAAGACACATTGAAAGCACACTACTAGCCGGGCTCGGTGGTTCAGCCTGTAATCCTGCGTCTTTGGGAGGCTGAGGTGAGTGGACTGCCTGAGCCCGCGGGTTCGAGATCCGCCTGTGCAACTTGGTGAGACCTCATCTCTACAATAAATCAAAAACGAGCCGGGCGTGGTAGCGCGCGCCTGTAGTTCCAGCTACTTGGAAGGCTGAGGCAGAAGGATCACCGGAGCCCAGCAGGTTGAGGCTGCGGTGGCTGGGAATGGCCATTGCACTCCAGCCTGGGAGAAAGAGGGAGACACCAACTAAAAAAAAAAAAACAAAAAAAAAAACCAAAAGAGAAAGCACACTACTATTTACATACAACACACAGCTGGTTGTATTGAGGCACTCAGCCACAGAGAACAGAGAAGTAACAACTCAAGTGGTGGTGGGATTCTGCTAGCTGTTCCATTACATGGCAAGTGGCCTAGAAGGGAGAGGGGCTCTGTTATGCCTTTCCACACATAAGGAAGACTCCCAGTCCTCACTCCTCTCCTAGTGTGTGCACTTTGCTGTGCTGATTCTGACCAAGGAGTCACCTGGGCCATGCTTTCTGTGCTGACTGTAGAAGGCAGACTTCATACAAGCCATGACCAGCTGTATCTACTCTTGCTCAGACACTTTTTCCTAAGGCTGTAAGTGCACACTGCTCACATGAGGGTTCAGCCGGTCACATGGCTCACTGACCTTCTCAGCCATGGCATCCATGTAGTCTTGTCGCTGGTATTCTCTCCGGCGCAGATGCCTGTACACGTGGAACTCTCCACTGCCAGCCCCAGCACTTGAGCCTATAACCAGAACAGTCCAGAACTCTAGATGAAACAGTTACCAACACAGGCAACCCTTAACTAAAAGGGCCTAAGGGAAGAAAATGTGGAAGTAATGGAAGAGACCATGTCTATCTTTCTGCCCATTGTACCCCAGAACTGGCATATTGTAAGCATCATTAAATTTTTTGTTCCACGAATGCTGCATGTGAAGTTACTAAAATTCCCACTCTAATAGAGTATTAAGACAAGAAACAGAATGTGGTTCAGTGATCTCCATTACTTCACATTTGATATGCTAGACTTCCAGTGAGTTGAAAAGATGTCCATGACATAGTAAATTAAAAAAGTAGATTACAAAACAGTATGTGCAGAACCACCATATTTTTGGAAAAGTGGTTTTTTCTCTTTTTGATAAATATATACTTTTTCTTTGGAAGGATGGAATCTCAATATGTTGTCTAAGCTGGTCTTGAACTCCTGGCCTCAAGTGATCTTCTCATCTCTGCCTCCCAAAGTGCAGCCACCACACCTGGCCAAACTGCAGGGAGTTTATATCTGCTTTTAAAAAGTATACTTACATGCAAATGTGCGCAGGCATGTACACACACACACACACACACACACACACACACACACACACACACACACAAAGACATTACCCATTACATCTCGGACAAATTCTGGGGGAGGACGAGGTGCCCATTCATTCATTTTCTCTGGAATTGGAACTGCTTTGTCCTGCAACATTTAAACACAAAACCATTGATAAGTATAAACCTGCTGACAAAGTTACAAATCTTATTTCATCCTGTATACTCCGGGGTATAACTAGCCAACACTTACCCTGGGCTACACTTTCCAGAGCAGAACTCTGAAGCTTAAGCCACCGTTCATGGCTGGAAACCTCCAACCTTAACACTGCTAGAAAAGACAAGTCTTTCTAGTCAAACGTACAGGAGACCTCATCCCAATGTTTTCATTACGGACAGGACTGAGGCCCGAACGGGGGAGGTCAGGAGTGATGTGCTCCAAGGGTCTCTGCCAATGTTTCTCTAACAATCTGTGATGTTTAGAAGAAACAAACCCTTCTGCCAGCCTACAGGTTCCACCTTTTCAGTCTAACGCTTTTGTTCAAGGAAAGTTAAACTGGAAAAGGTCTCAGAGTACGGGAAGCCGCTTCACGGCGTCTTCACCCAGGCTGGGCTCTAACCCACGGACAGACGGGAGCTCACTACCTCTGGGGCAGCCTACTGCTTCCCAAGGACTGCTCGGGGGGATCAGGTACTGAGTCGCTGAGTTTGGAGGCGGGGAAGGTGGGCCCGCGGCGCCGGAGAGGAAGGGGGTGGGCCTCGGACCGGCGATGGAGCCCAGGCCTCGTCTCACCGGGTTCTTCATGAGCCGCTCCAGTTTGAGCTTCTGCTCCTCCGCCGCATTCTTGGGGATGACAAGGGCCTGCGGCTCCTTCTTGGGCCTCGGCGGTCGCACCGCGGTGGCGGCGGAGCTCGCCATGACCACCTTCCGGCCGCCCCGGCGAGCGACGGCGGCGCGCACGAGTGACGACAGAGCCGCGCGCCCGCGACGCAGGCGCAGTCTCCGAAGGGAGGGGCTGGGCGGAGTGGCGAGCCGGAAGCCGCCTGCTGCATATTCATGAGCCCTCGGCCGGAGTGGGTTATTGGGTTCAAAGCGGCTGGGTTTCCTTTCCCGTCTCTGAACAACTCAGTGCAGCCAAATGCCTGCGTCCCTGGGGGAGAGGCGGCCTCCGTGCCCGAGTCCCTAGCCGACCTCTCCAGGGCCTGTGGGCGACAGCAGGCCACCGCTCAGCCCGGCCGGGGTTCTCAGCGTCTCCTCCCGCTCGGCTCTCCTGGCCTCCGGGCGTGGTCTGGGCCGTTCCTGGGATCTGGATCCCCCGCTCTGTGGCCGTCTCCTGTTTACGTGAGACAGCACAAACGACATGGGTCGCTGGGCCCCTCGAAGACTGAGCCTGTCTCCTTTGTCCTCGAATGGCAGCCAACAGCCCCCTGCGGAGCGACTGAACCTTTCGTAGCGCGCGACGAAGTGGCTCACGCAAGAAGCCACGCGTAGGCCTCCTGCTGGCCGGCAGGATCCCGCAAGCCCTGACTCAGTGGCAGCGCGGCCTTCTGGAAGAACGGCCTGGGGACGATCAGCGGGGCCGAGCACGGGCTTCCGCGCTGCTGGAATCTGCGTTTTGGGGAAAGACGAGCTCAACGATCGTGGCTCTTCCGGTCCATAAGCTCAGACATGATTCCGATGATAAGATTATACCTCTGTACTTTAGAGCCAGAGGGACCCTCACACCCGAACCTTGACGACATTTTGCTCTACTGGAACTTCTGGGCACATTCAGAGCACGCCACAGCCTGTGTATGAACGGGGTGCTGAGACACTGCTTTGGAGCCATCTAATAGGTTGGTGCAAAATTAATGGCGCTTTTGGACCGCGAGTTTTAAGTCATGACTGGGCTCAAGCACATCCTTATTCATCAAAATGGGAGCCGTTGCGATCAACACATTTTGGCCCATGAGAAATGTGTGTGTATTCCTGTCGCGCAAAAATCCGTGCTTCAGGATTCGATGAATTCTTGGAAAGCGCTCTCTGCATCCTACCGGTCGTGGAAGCGTCCCTGGGAAAAGTTGTCGAGAGGCTTGAAGAAATGGTAGTCGGTTGTCAAGAGGTCAGGGGAATATGGCAGATGAGGGGAAACTTCGTATCCCAACAAGCTCTCCTAGCTCTCCAGCATCTTTTTTTTTGAGTTGGAGTCTCACTCGGTCGCCCAGACTGGAGTGCAGTGGCCGCTCCCGGCCACCGCAGCCTCGACCTGCTGGGCTCCAGCGATTCTTCCGCCCCAGCCTTCCAAGTAGCTGGGATTACAGGCACGCGCTACCACGCCCGGCTGATTGTTTTATTTATTGTAGAGATGAGGTCTCGTTGCCCAGGTGGGTCTCGAACCCGCGGGCTCAGGCAATCCACTCACCTCAGCTTCCCAAAGGCACGGGATTACAGGCTGAGCCACCGAGCCCGGCTGCTCTCCAGCATCTTGACTCTCCCTGCTGATTCTGAGACTTGTCAGCTTTCATGATCACATGAGCCAATTCCTTATAATAAATACATCCGGCAGGTTCTTTGTCTCTGGAGGACCCTAATACAACTATTTGTTAAGATGTCTAATGATAGAATTGTCCTCACCTCCCAACAGCATCTAATCCCGACTAAACATGCACTTGCTAGAATCTTCCCCCAAGCACCTACCATAAGCCCAAATCCTCTAATAAGCCATTTTTTAGCCTCCTCTGACTGAGGTAAGCACAGTCTTCCTTCTTGCAACAAATAATAAACCCAACTTTTTCAACTACAGGTGTGCTCCTGGAAGTCTTTGCTGTTATTGGTTTTCTTGTCATTTGTCACCCACTGGAGGGTAGAAACGTTGTTTAGTTCACTGCTGCATCCCAGCATCCGCGGCAAGTCCTGACCCACAGCAAGGCACACAGTAAAGATATGCTAGAAGAAATGGGATCCTCAGCCAGGCTCGGTGGCTCAGCCTGTAATACCATGCCTTTGGGAGGCCGAGGTGAGTGGTTTGCCTGAGCCCGCGGGTTCGAGACCCACCTGGGCAACTTGGCGAGACCTCATCTCTACAATAAATCAAAATAAGCCAGGCATGGTAGCGCGCACCTGTACTTCCAGCTACTTGGAAGGCTGAGGCGGAAGGATCGCTGGAGCCCGGCAGGTCGAGGCTGCGGGAGCAGCCACTGCACTCCAGTCTGGGTGACAGAGTGAGACTCCAACTCAAAAAAAAAAAAAGAAAGAAATGGGATTCTGGGAACAGGCACCTCAGATGTCACTGTTGCCAGCGCTGCCCAGGACAGCCCTCCAATGAAGTCTCCCAAGGGGACAAACAGAGTGGATGATACTTGGAGGGTGCTGTGTTTAGTCTCTAAACACAGTTTAGTCTCTAAGCACAGTTGCCTGATAGTGGGTGATTTTTTAAGAGCCAAGGGTGAAGAGTTGGGGGAGGTCTTTGGGTGGCCCAAGTCTGTCACTGGAATCTGGAGAGGGCTTGGGGGTGGTGGTCATGCACACAAACATACCCTACATCACACACCCTAGCAACCCAGTACCTCACTTTTCTGAAACTCCACAAAACAAAGACTTTACCTGGAGTGTCTTTTCCTTCCTGGATAAATCCCATACCAGCCACCAGTCTTCTTCTTCTTCTTCTTTTTTTGGTTTATTGCAGAGACGAGGTCTCACCAAGTTGCCCAGGCCGGTCTCAAACCCCTGAGCTTAGGCAATCCTCTTAATCCCCTTGCTTCGGCTTCCAAAGTGCTGAGATTCTAGGCTTGAGCCACCACGCCGGCCCACATAGCCTCCTTAACCTGACCTAAATGCTCCTCCTCTGTGGACCTCCTCCATGAAGCCTTCTCTGATTTTTCCTCCCCTCCTCCCACCTCCAGGCAGTAAGTTACTCCCTTCTGGGTACCTCCCATGTTCTGGGTGCCAGTGGCTGGCAAGGTAGTTACTACAGTGTGTCCTTACCAACTACGTCCCCACAGGCCAGCAGGAGAGCGGGGCCAGAATCCCAGCATCTAACCCTGGCCTGGTATAGAGTGGGTGCTTCCCGAAAGCTTGAGGAACAGAGGAACGAAAAATAAATGAAGATCGAATGAATGAGTCAATGAGACAGATGGAGAGGGGAGTGAATGAAGGAGGAAGTTGAGTATGAGAAGGAATGAATGAACAATTCGTAAGTGGGCCTGGTGCAGTGGCCCACACCTGTAATCCCAGCACTTTGGGAGGCTGAGGTGAGAGGATTGCTTAAGCCCAGGAGACCAGCTTGGGCAACATAGCGAGACCTCATTTCTACAAAATATCAAAACATTAGCTGGGTGTGGTGGTGCACGCCTGTAGTCCCAGCGACTTGGGCTGCTGAGGTGGAAGGATCACCTGAACCCGGGAGGTTGAGGCTGCAGTGAGCTGTGATCATGCAACTGCACTCCAGCTTGGGCAGCAGAGGGAGACCCCAACTAAAATAATAAGTGAACACTCAGTGAATGAATAAACACATGAGACAGTGGATTAGTAGAGAATGACAGAGCTAGGAGGGCAGGGCAGTGTCTGTCCAGGTGGCAGAATCTCCCTGGCACCCCCAGCTCAGCATCTGGCACAAGCTGGTGCTTGGCGGATAGCTGCTGAATGAAAGTTAAGTGCATGGCCGGGCGTAGTGGCTCACTCCTGTCATCCCAGCACTTTGGGAGGCAGAGGCGAGAGGATTGCCTGAGCCCGTGGGCTCGAGACCAGCCTGGGCAATTTGGTGAGACCTTGACTCCACCATAAAGCAAAAAATTAGCTGGGCATGGTGGTGCACGCCTGTGGTTCCAGCTACTTGGAAGGCTGAGGCGGAAGGATCGCCGGAGCCCAGCAAGTCAAGGTTGCAGTGGCCATGAGTGTGCCACTGCACCCCAGCCTGGCGACAGAGTGAGACTCCTATTAAAAAAAGAAAAGAAAGTTAAGTGAATGAATAGACACAGGTGGGGAGAGTTAAGGCGTATGTGTGTGAAGGAGCTGATAATAACTACCTGAGTGTCTAAGTCTGGTCTAAGCTGTTGACATACTTATTGTCATCCTAATTTGACAGAGAAGGAACTGAGACCCAGAGGAAGAAGTGATTGGCTCAGGATCGCCTAGACTCAAACCCAACCGTTTGGCCCTGGATCTGCGAGGACCTGATATGACTCAAGAATGGAAGGAAGTCTTCCTGGAGCTGCCACCAGACTTGACGTCCTGTTTCCCGAGATGGATGGGGCCTCTCCCTCACCTCCAGATGCCCCAGGAGAGGATGCAGGTCCTGAGTGCCATCCTGTCTGCCACCAGAGGGCAGCCAAGCCTCACCCAGGCCCCTGGGGCCCCAGAATCCAGCCACTGGGTGCCTTAATCTGCCTTCCCTGAGACCCATATCTGGGCCCCCAGGGAGCAGGTTTTCCAGAAGACACCAGGGCTTGGGAGATGGGCAGACTTGGTGCCAAAGTTTGGCTGCACCTATCCTGGGCTTGGGCAAATGACATAGTCTCTCTGAAGCTGTTTCTTTTTCTTTTTTTTTTGAGTTGGAGTCTCACTCTGTAGCCCAGACTGGAGTGCAGTGGCCACTCCTGGCCACCACAGCCT